TGCTGCCTCCATATCTTCCCCTTCTATTTGCCAGGAGGTGATGGGACCAGGGGCCATGATCTTAGTTTTTTGATGTTGAGTTTCAGACAAATACAATAAATAAATAAAATAAATAAATAAATTTTATTTCACTGACACCCAGGCTATCAATGTTTATTTTTGCCATTTCCAGCTTACCAAGGTGTGTAGATCTTATGTTCCAGGTTCCTATGCAGTATTTTTCTTTGCAGCATTTCACTTCCAGGCGCGTCCGCAGCTGAGCGTCCTTTCGGCTTTGGCCCAACCACTTCAAAAATAAATAAATAAATTTTATTTCACTGACACCCAGGCTATCAATGTTTATTTTTGCCATTTCCAGCTTACCAAGGTGTGTAGATCTTATGTTCCAGGTTCCTATGCAGTATTTTTCTTTGCAGCATTTCACTTCCAGGCGCGTCCGCAGCTGAGCGTCCTTTCGGCTTTGGCCCAACCACTTCATTAGCCTTGGAGCTACTTGTACTTGTCCTCCGTTCTTCCTTAGTAACATGTTGGACGCCTTCCGACCTGAGGGGCTCATTTTCCAGCGTCATATCTTTTAGCCTTTTGTTTGTGTCCGTGGAGTTTTCTTGGCAAAGGTACTGGAGTGGCTTGCCAGTTCCTGCTCCAGGTGGATCGTGTTTAGTCAGAGCTCTCCACTATGACCTGTCCGTCTTGGGGGTCCCTGCATGGCATAGCTCATAGCTTCTCTGAATTACTCAAGCCCCTTCACCATGACAAGGCAGTAATCCGTGGAGGGGAATCACTAGTTGAATTCAAAATACATACATAGTGTTTCTTGGAGAAAGGGCTATTAAGGGAAGTTATTGAAAGTTTCTCTCAGTTCTGTTGGATGGTTGACGCTGTCCTGTGACACAAGGTGAGAAGCGAAGCCCATCCCTAATGTACACACTTGCACGTTCATGCAGCAACTGACCTAGTGTGTCTTGCCGCATCTCACCATACCACACTACAGTGTTCTGAAGAGGGAAGTACTTCTGGTCATATGAGAGAGAGGTAGTGGAAGAGACACCTCTGTACTCCCCTCTGAATAAAGTTTGGAGAAGAAGAGAAGGAAGGTTATGGTTATGGTGGCAGCACCCCTCATTCTTCAGAGGAGGGAAGTGGAAGAGGTTGTGTATGCCATTGGAGAAGGGGCAAGCCACACATCATCTTCCGTATCCCAGCTCTGGAAAACTGCCTATAGCAGCAGCTCTCCCTAACATCCTGTGTACTTGGCGTGGTGTCAGAGGGAGCTGCTTTAGATGACTACCTCACCAAGCCTCATGGTGGAGCTGGCCTCAGGTTCTTCTGGATCATGTAAGGAGGGACCATAATCGAATGATAGATTATGCTTTGCATGCACAGAAAGTAAGATTCAACCCAGACATCTTTAGTTAAAAAGATATTTGGTAGTTGGGCTGGGAAAAATCTTTGCTGGTAAGACTTCGCTAGGTGGAACTGCCTGACACAGTCAGAGAAATGACAGCTTTCATTGTTTTTCTGTGTGATTTAATGAGGTTTGAATGCTCACTATAAAGTTTCAATTCAGAAAAATTAAAAGCATGTTTACACCTTGACTATCCTGTGGAGGTTTTTCTCTCCTAAACAAGTATTTAATTTCATGCTGTTTTATTTCACTGTGAATCATACAGTAACCTGTTCTTTTCTCTCTCAAAAGCTTGAAGGAAAATTAGAAGTTCTTTTGATTTATGCATCTATATTTGCGCTTTATTTTATTTAAATGAATTTTAAGACATTTGAAATGTAGTTTTTCTGCATCAGAATGTCTATACAAAGCCAGGATTTTAAAAAGAGGATTGGTGTGGTGTGTGTGTGTATTTGTGTGTGTTTGTGTGTTTTGCATGTGTGTATGCTGTAGCTCATTATCCAAGGCACAAACTTTTTTCTTCTTTTTCTTTTTTTAAAAACTAAGCAGTTGATGACACTTTGGTGATGCAAATTGGCATGGCAAGAGCAATCACCATAATACCAGATATGAGGGTCAAATCAGCTGTTACACAGAATGTTTATTCTCTGCAATTAACCTGTACTTATCTGCACAGTGCATTTTGGCAAGTAATGAGTGCCTCAGTAATCAGGTTTGCAAATTAAGTCTGTGTTTATCTTTCAATGACCAACCACAAAACAGGACAGAGGGTTGTGGAAAATCACTTGATTGATGACAAACATATGTCCTTTACCACTTGTGTCAAGTACCTCAAGTCCAGAGTGTTATACCAGTGAAAAAAGTATGATGTTCTACAAGTGATTTCAATAATAAGACAGCAATCTGTGTACCATTTGTAAAAAAATAATAATTCAGAAGGCAAGAGAGATGTAATACAAATTTGTATGCCTAAATAATTGATTATCAGAGTGCAGTCCCATGCATATTTACTTGGAATTAACTTTCACTGCATTCAGTGAGATTCATTGTGTAGGAACTGCATACTGCATCAGTTGTTTCAAGTTCCTTTTGTACATACTTCTAGTATGCTCATTAATATTGTGTGGAACATACTCAACACTCAGGATTCTTAAATGTTTGTGTTGTAGCTTAGCAATGAGCCATGTCTTATTTTATTTTTTCTTTTCTTTTCTTTTTTCTTTTCTTTTTTTGCCCCTGAATAGGTAGGAAGGGGAAAGTAGCCTTTCTAAAAAATTAATTTTCCGTTTTTATATAAATAGTAGTTGATGCAGAATTTGCTGGTGTAAAGATTTAAGACTGTGCTCTCAATAAATTGTAGTTAATATCTATCTTTGAACTAAAAGTTTCCTTTTGAACTTTGGGGCGATCTATCAAATTTCTGTAGTCAGTCTTTTATTACTATCTTGTCTTGAGCCCTTTTTTTAATGACATCTATTATCAGATTGAAATGGCGATTGAGACACTGCAAAAGTCTGATGGTCTGTCCACTCACAGAAGCTCTCTTCTCAACAGCCATGTAAGTTGCCTCTTCTTCATGTAAACTAAACCCTTGCTTGTTCTGCATGCTTAGCTTCTAAATGCTAGTTTTGTTTTGCTGCCTTTTTACTTCTGACTCTTCCTTTCTACTTTTAATTGCAAACTTCACAGCAGTTCACTTCTGCATCTCCCCCCCCCCCTCCGGGGCAGAATGTCAATGCACTGAATTTGTTGAGTCTTTTGGTTTCCTAGCTCTTATTACTCTTGCTGGTAAAACATGTGTTCCCAAATAACAATTTAAAATATATCAGGGTTAACATAGGCGTCTTAGTGGTGTTATGTATTCTCCTGTCATTTGAGGTGGTGACAGTTAGAACTAGAAACAGTGGTTTTAAACATGAAGGAATAATTGCATTATTTTATCTGTATTTGTCTGAAACCCACTTCCCCAGATTCTGTCACACTTTTGTGTTGGAAAGAAATAGAAATCAGGATGTAACTAACCAGGTGAAGAAATAGAAATGTGTAGGTAAGAATAGACTTTGTTTTCAAAGACTGAACAGAGAGAGGAGGCAGGTTTGGCCATTTTCCCATTCATCTGGGTACATCTGTTTATTAACTGCCATCTAAGTTATCTACACTCACAGGCAGACACAAGGGGATACTTCTGCAGTGGGGTACTATTGAATCATTGCTCTTCAGTTTTAGTAGTTGATCAAATGGGCTCCTTTCCCAGAGATTTTAAAGCAGAGTAGGTATAAATGCTATCTACACAGAGCATTCCTGAAGGGTCCTTGCAATATAGATGCATTACCTCAAAGTGGTAAATATTTTCCTAGGTCTAGAGAAGAAAGAGTTCATAAGATTGTCATCAAAAGCAGTTTTATTTATTGAATTGAAACCAAAATGTTGTCTCATTCCCACTAACCAGGGTTACTGCTCATGAGGGAAACTGTGGTCCAAATCAATGCAACTAGTTTCTTGTGACTAATTTGCCCCATTGATTTTAGTGGGTATACTTTAACCATTACTGAGTCATAACTAAAAAGTTTCACTGAATTGAAACCAGAGTTGGAGCTCCATAGTGGCAGAAACACTCGGGGTCTGTGGGTGCAGAGTTTGGAATTCCCCTAGAGAAGATTATCTGCTGGATCAGAACCCTTCCATGGATAGAAGTTTTCAAAGAAGTGTTCATATTAATCTGTTTAAGCATATCCTGACAAAAAAACTTTAAAAAATGTTCTGGCTCTTTAAAGACTGTTACAGTCAATATGAGCTTCCATGGATATACAGTGGTGCCTCACTAGACGATTACCTCGCAAAACGGTGAATTCGCAAGACGATGGGTTTTTGTGATCGCTGTAGTGCTTCGCAAAACAGTTTTCCCTATGGGCAATTTTTGCTAGACAATGTTGCGGCCCATGCTTCGCAAGATGGTTTTTTGGGTTGTTGTTTTTTTTTCGCAAGACAACAATTGACAGCTGGGGCTGTGCTTTGCAAAACGTTTTTTTTTTAAAGGGACGGTTTTTTGCAAGACAGCGATTTTGACAGCTGGCTCCGTGCTTCGCAAAATGGTTTTTCTATGGGCGATTTTTGCAAGGCGACGATTCCCCCCCCCCCATTGGAACGCATTAAATAGATTTCAGTGCATTCCAATGGGGAACCGCATTTTGCAAGACTATGTTTTCGCAAGACAGTGATTTTCGGGGAATGAATTAACATCGTCTTTCAAGGCACCACTGTATATAATTGAATAAGTGGATGTGTCCGTGAAAGGTCACATTGAAATTTGGCTTTTATTTTATTTTTATTTTTGTCTGGATATCCTTCGGTAGAAGAAGCCCTTCCCTTGACAGGAAGCAGATACTGGATCCATGCCATCAATTGCCATTTATAAATCATTAATAGATGCCACAAAAGGAGGGCCATGGAAACAGAAAAGCACAAGCCCAGTGTAGCATATATGCTCAGGGTTTTTTTTTAAATTAAGAAGTCATCCCAGCAGAACAGTAGCCATGTAGCCATCTGACTCATGTAGCCATCTGACTGTACCCCAGATCTCCCCAAGAGGAGTGGGAGACTTTACAGAGCAGATTTGGTAGATGTACAGTGGGGAGGAGGGGGTAGAGAAACTTCAGTTGTGTAAATAGCATTCCTCTTGCATAATCCTGAATTTGGTTTTGTGGCCAAAATCTATTCTGCTTTGGTATCTGGTATCAGTGGAGTCAGGACCTTTGTCTCAACTGCTTTCTGTTGCAGCCTTCATAGCACAGAAATCCAGAGCATTTCCCGGACTTTGAGAGCAGGTTCTCAAGGTGCTTGCAGGAGGGGGATAGCAGAAGGAAGGAGGACTTACATATTCGGCAGGGATTTTTTTTTCTAATTTATGTTTATATGAAGGAACTCTTAAGATAAGTGAAGCTATGTAAATGTAATTTGTATGTGCATGGAAAGATAACTTAGAGATTGGAATCTTAAAATTGTGGGCTAAATCCAGTTATTAGTGCCTAATGTCCTGATGTAGTGGATCTACTCTCTTTGGGACTCATAATTGCATCTAGTTATATTTCTGATTATCCAAGATAGACCTCAAAAACCCTAGTACAACTCCATTAGCAATTTATTTGTCAATTGCCAAAATTCTGTTGCTTTGTTATACTTGTAGAAGGCAAATGGCATAACCCACAGCAGCTTCTCACTCGGAGTTATCAAATCCCCGCTTGAATTTTGGAGTATACTCCAGTCTGATGAGCTGATAAGTCAGTAGGAAATGGCCAGTTTTGCACAAGAAGCATTTTGGGGGGTGATTTGGGACCATGACTGAGCTCCTCCCATTCCACCTTTGAAAAAAGTGCCTCTTCGACCTAAAGCTCAGGGCATAAAATAGTAATTCACCTGCTAGAGGATTCTCAGAACATGATTAACCACCTGGGAGTCTCCAGAGGGAGATGGGGCTACTCTTTCCTCATCCCTGCTTACATGAATGCCAGAAAAGAGTGAAGCAGGGAATTCAAGGAAATACGTGAAAAACAACATACAGTCGTGCCTCGCTTTATGAGTGCCCCGTTAAGCGAGGCATCACTGTACAGTGGTGCCTCGCAAGATGAATTTAATTTGCTCCACGGTTAGTATTTGTCTTGCGAAATGTGTTGATGTCTAGGGCAGGGGTTCCCAAAGGTTGGGGACCGCTGGTCTAGAGACAAAAAACATTGGGGATCTGGAGATGGGATCCCGCATCGCCAGTGGTGCCTCGCAAGATGAATTTAATTTGCTCCACGGTTAGTATTTGTCTTGCGAAATGTGTTGATGTCTAGGGCAGGGGTTCCCAAACGCCCTCGGGCTGCGGACCACTCTTAGTCCGTGGCCTTGGAAGAACCGGGTCACCGGGGCAGATGAGCAGCAAGCAGGAGGTGAGCGGCAAGCAAAGCTCTGCCTCCTGTTAGCATGCTCCTATTAGGTTCTAATGCCGCTGCCGATCTGACACGAGGCGGAGCATCTCTCCCTGCGCCTATCCTGGTGCTGCTAGATCAGCTGTGCCTGTGGCATTAGAATCTAATAGGAGCCTGCGCTTCTATTAGGTTTTAAGCTGCTGCTGATCTAACAGGAGGTGGAACTTCAATTGCAGCTCACCTCCTGTTCCTTTTCACTGCTCATCTGTCCCAGCACAATACATGTAATGAGCTCGATTCGAAGCTATCCTCCAACAACCTACTGCATAACAAGTACCTCTCCCCGGTCCTTGGGAGAATGGTCTTCAACTAAACTGGTCACTCTTGTCAAAAAGGTTGGGCACCACTGGTCTAGAGACAAGAAACATTGGGGATCTGGAGATGGGACCCCGCATCGCCATCATGGTTAGGGCCCTTTCATAATATAACTCCTGAACAGAGTGTTTCGTAATCCTGGTTCAGCGTTCTTAGAGCTTTTAAACTTGAATTCTCTGTACTGTACTCCTCTGTGCCCATTTCACTTTCACCTGCTTCTTTTTTTGTGTGAATGTTAATTACAGTTTGTCTGAGAATTCAGTTGAATGAGGTTGAAATTAGTTGTGGAGGTTGGTCAACATATTTGATTGTTTTGTTTTGTTTGCCCATAATAACAGTATTTGGCCAAAACTTCAGTTCAAATATGTTTCTGGCATAGACTCCAGTAGCAGTAAATAACAGTGCTATTGCTTAACTTTTAATGGCATTTTAATGACAAAGCTTTACTATTAATTGTTAAGAACACAATTGTAATGCTATTAACTTTTTTTGACATGACTTGTACACAAAACTCTTCATTAATGCTTCCTCCTTATTTCTGGCATTTTCATTACTTTGATATACATTTTATGTTTATACCCGGTACCTGACATTTCAGAGGCATATGCATGTGAGCATGGACATTCTATTTAACTGTTATATAAATGACCACTGATGTGCCTATCTTAACATTAATTTTGTGTAACTGTATCTGGTCTTTTATTATCAGAAGCATCACATCCTACTTTCCTCAAAGGGTGAGATTTGCTTGCCACTTCCTGGACACCACAATGTGCGAGAGAACTGTTGATTTACTTGTCCTTGATGATTTGTGCTCCCAAACACACTTACGCAGATCTATTTTCACTTTAAAGTTATGTGTGACATATAATTATTTTCATTTTATAGCCGAAATAAATGTTTTTTCCCAATGAAATATATCTGCCCTAAATTTTTAGCCTGGACTATGATTTGTCAGCAGTAGCTACTATAAGTAACAACAAACAACTGTTAAAAGTAAACTTTATTAGCACAAAGCACATTAAAATCATCTTATAATTCATTGGGGAGAGGGAAGCTAAAATGTTACATTTGTAATTTAATTAGTAAATGTGTGTGGGGTTTTTTGCATATACTAGTAAATATTTCCCCTTGATGTAAATGGCAATACCATATCTATTTCATTTTATAGCATATCTACTTTATTTTGTTCCATCCGCCTGGCTAATAAGGTACCACTGTGGTGTAGTAGATATAATGATAAGACTAGGACTCAGAAGACCTGTATCTGAGTTCC